TCTAGTTTTTCAGCAACTTAAGAACAGTGAATAGTTTAGCAGGTACTGCGATCGCTGCGTCGCAGATGCGAACGCAAATGCATCGCAGTGAACACAGTCTATTTCTCTAATCTCAGCTGCGGTCAGTGCGTCACAGTTACGCGCAGTTGCCATAAAAATTTCGCAGTTGGTAAAAAAGAGGCAACATGAGTCTTTATCAACATACTCCTCTCTTCTGAATTTGATTGATAAACTGGGAAACAGGCAACTTTGACTATTCATGTGTGAGCCAAGGTCATCTCTTTACAATGTAGGAGCAGAAGCTCTTTATATTAAGATTGTACGAACAGCCATTCTAAAATATTCACATGCTTTCATTAGGAAATGGATAATAGTAATTTGATTATGATAGACTCTTTTCTATGATTTCAACCTTCTATATAAAAGATCTTCTCACATTAGCTACTTCATTCATTTTTTTCTTAGTCATTATTTCTGCAATACTAGGACTTCAAATATTGCAATCAACTCACAATCATCGAAATAAGGTGAGTGTTGTTTATCTTGAAATATGAGTTAAAAATGATAAGTGATTATTAAGTTTAGGTTTGTTTGTGAAATATCGATACCTAAAAATGAATAGTACTTCATCTGCAGCATGGCCATCTAGGTAAGTAGAAAAATTGAATGAAAGTCATGTGTAATCTGAATTGACTGCAGCCATAAACAAAAGAAGTTGTTGTATATTGGTTTACGTTTGTTGGCTCTTATCGCCATCCTGTCTGTTTTAATTATTATACCCATATTACCAATAGGTGTAAATATATTTTCCAATAAGAAATCTACACAGAGAGCATCAACAATGAAAATCACTACTGCAGCCACTAGTAGAACCACTGCTACAATAACATCTATAAGTAATAATATGCATGAGTTGTCCTGAACCTTTCTCTTCAGTAAATAATGACTTTCAATCTATTGGTGTCCTTTCGTAAGACTCGAATTGAGCTTAAAACTAAAACAAACAGGCTTTAAGCATGTTTTCTACGAAATCAAAATGTGAAAGATGGTGGATTTACTCTTGTTATACTAAACCCCTATCCATGGCCAGCATATTGACTAAGACGACTAGATAGATAAACATATTGATATTTCTACCGCAATCTGTGACTCTAATGAGCTTTATCAGTTCTGTCTTTCACATGTCTGCAGTGGAGTCCAATGGAGTGAGCATGGGGTGAAGATAATTTTTTTTTGCATTGTATAAACTTATTCATTGTTGTCAGATGTATCGATTTTTGTCAATATAATGCTTTTGCAGGATCTTAATCATGTACGCGACTGTAATTTCATTACTTGAAATGGTACACTTTTCAGCTATCACCATCTAAATTGGATAACCAACTCATAGATCACATACACAAAACTATGACAGCACACGAAATCCACTGTCACTAGTGATTAGAAGCGAATACGACTGATGAAGTTAAGAAGAATTCATTGAGTTTATCATTATCTTTCATCATCATCATCCATCAGATTTAATTTTACACTATTTGTCGTGTCGATGAGAATGAAGACAAGGCTTTCACTCACCATTCCTATCCATATTCTTACTCACACCCTTAATAATTTTGAAACCGCTTTAAAGAGAGTTCGAAATATTTCAAGATCAATCAGACCCAACTACAATAACTATTTTATCCGATACTATAGTCCAAAGATCGAGATGACAGCCAATGATAGTATCATTTATGACTTAGATTCTTGATTAACAAATTGTATATTTCAATTATCGGTATATAATTGAATCATAAAATGGCATGCATACGACAGATGAGATTACTATTATCGTGAGTCATCGTGAGAGTCTACTGAACGAAAGCTTTTATGCTGAGTACAAATGAGTTTGGTTGAGTTATATGTCAGTCAAAAATATGGTAAAACTGACACGGTCAGAAACCTTAACAATCGAATAACTTGAAAGTGCGACGCTACTCAATATTCTCTGTCCACTATCATTTCAAAGACTATTAATACATATTATAGCGGACACCATTGATACAGTCTATTGGAAAGTCTCGATTTTGTACGATAACTCTTTACGAAGAAACTAGGACCTTTCAATATCAATACATTCTCAGTAACCATACCATACATATATCTATTCTACTCTACTATTTGTACAGCAACAAGCGATATCTATCAATGGTATCAACACTGTTTGGTAGAGGACCCAAAAGCTCATCGTTTCTACAGGTGGTACTTTATCTTTATTGTACTTTGAAAAAGGACAGGAAGGGAAAGTGAATTACAATACTTCAAATCTAATATTGTTTTTCTAGCCTGCCATTGTACATCGGTAATGGTGCAGCATATCGCAATATACTCAGAAACGTTTCTTCAATAAATAAGTGCTGCAATAAGAAAAATTTTCAAGTTCGCTTCGCAACGAGTAGTAGTACCGCTAACTATTTGAGAATTATCTTGAGATCATATATAGGAATGGACAATTCAATTTAACTTAAAATTAGAATAAGCTTTATTTCTGAACACTTAACACTTAATTTACCTAAAATTAAGTGATTAAATGACAGATGTAAGCGCGGATGACACTTTGGCTTTAAAAATAATCAAAGTTAAAGTAACTTTTTTCACTAAAAAAGAGGTTTTTAGAAGAAAAAAAAGGATCTTTTAAAAAGTTTTATCAATTTACTTTATGGCGTACAGTAGAGATAAAGTGCCACCTCTAAGAATAATGTCTTTCTCTGTATTCGTATATTGTAGCAAAGACCAGTATTTTATTCGGGTTTATCACGTGGATGATCAGGCAAACGCAACGGTAAATCAACATCATATTATAACTCTAAATTATTACGAAGATTCTGGCTATATTAATATTAGTGGTTACTTAAACATTGTTATGAATAATTTTACCTTTACAGACTTTAACAACAGTGGAGGATACACTTGGGGTTTCAAAATACAAAAGAATAATGACACTATTTTTATTGACGAAGAAGGAAAAGTAGGAGTCATTGGTGCAAATGATAATGATTCTTCGAAAACTAATCAATATGTTTACAATAGAATGGTTACCATTAATATTATTATGTGCTCTTGATTGAACACTATTTGTTGATTGTAAAAATAAAGAAAAAACGTTTTTCCTTGTTTGTGATTAATTTTCCTCTTAGTACAGATAAATAATAGATTGATTTTTAGTTCAACTAAAACAATATGAAATGTTTGTGCAATACTTGGTGTCGTGTGTGTTTTTTATTTCATAGACTGAAAAGTCTGAGATCTATATTTAAGATCAATGCATTGAAGTCCTATTCTCTCTCAATCATGAACAATCTCCATACTAATGATATTCGACCGAATTCATCTCATGTTGTCGTTAGAACATATAAAAAATAGTAATTGGCACCATTAGAACAGCAGTTGCAGTGATAGATATTTGAAAGCAATGAATTTCGGCAAAAAACAGGACATCGTGAAAATGATTCAGTTTTCTAGTTTGAGAAACTCACTTATGGATAAATCTAGTGTTAATGAACTATAGTAGTTGAAGTGATGTTGCTTGAGCAAATGACGCCAAAAATGTGCAAGAGGAAATCAAGGTTTCAGTAACCACTAGCTTACTTATCAACATCCAAAATGTGTATTCTGGTTACGCCAAGGAAGCTGAAAAACGTCAGAAATCACTTGCGGAGATCGGTTTGATCAGATTGTCGAAGCGAAACACTAATAGTTATTGACTAAAAAAACTCTTAATTGCTAGATGAACAAAAAAAAGAATGGAATAAGACCACAAAATTGTTGGAGGAGGAAAGCGCACGACTATTTGTGGCTATCAAAACTAAGAAATGTGATGATATTGGCACGACTTAAGTACTTATCAGAGCCACCAAAGCAAAACTGGCAGTTATAAAAAGTCAATTAGTTGAGAACAGTGGTACTTTTAACCGAATGCGAAACAAGCACAACAAAATAAATAATTGAAAATATTATGATGAGGATAATGTTATATCTTTGTTTCTCCAAGAAGAAATATTTTATAGCCACTCTAGTATATTTCGAAAAAAAAATTAGGACAAGATCAGGACTTTCGGTCAAAATCAGAAAAAAAGCGAGGAAAGTAGACCCGCTGCAATGCCTGTATTAGCCGATCAGAAGTTATTCATAAGATGCTCATGCCTATTTAACTCAGAAATGGACAATAATTGTTGGTTGAAAGACTCACTTTTTTCTTATTTAGGCAGATGACTGGGCCATATAACATAGCGTTGATAATGCCTGAACGTAAAAAGTATTTGGGTATGGATAGATGAGTCTTCTCTTCAGCCACATCCACTCTCAAGTCGTGCATCGAGAAACTCATTGATAATTTCGAGCGATACTTAAATAATTAAGTTTATCGTTTGAATTCATTTCTTCAAAAATCAAGATAGAATTTGTTCAACGTCCATTTCTTCTAGAGCAGACATATGTGAGCGAGTATCTATCCTACACCCAAATGTTGACAGTATTCGTGAAATGAAAATGATAGTTGAACTGAATAATGAATATCAATGATTATTGAATACAAAAAGCAAACAACAGTAAAAACAACGATAATCAATAAAAACTAATATTTCAACAATGCTTTCAGATATCATCTTTCATTTGTATAAAGTATCAAAACTAAAGTTGCACAAAATAAATATTTGTATTATAAATAATCGATATGAATAACAAAGTCAACTCAACATTTGCAATTCATAGCAAACTTTAATCTGAATTTCATTTGTTCTTATTATAAGTATAAATTTATTGATTAGAGACACAAACAAAAAAATGTAGAAGATAATTAGAAATAGACGGTTTGATGGATGTTTTTACGGTATAAATAACAAAAATAGAATTGTAGGCTATTTACATAAGTATAAATAAATGTAAGCACAGTAGATGAGACAGTCATATAAAATGAAGTATATATTTTCTTTTTCCATGATAATAGTTAGAAGTATGTCAATTTATAAATTTCCTAAACTATCATCAGAACCGAGTGTCATAAAGTAGATGGAAATCGTTGTGAATATAATTGCATTGGCTGCCATGATAAAGCCCATTGAACCGGCTAAAATCTACATTTTTTTTGTAAAACAAAAAAGAAAGTAGTGATCAAATTTTCAATTGACTTACAACATTTGCTCGAAATAAAACAGCTGGTAAACCAAATGCTGAAGCAACAATAACACTTGTTAGAAACCACATAAAATCTTGACATGGACTTGAATCACTTGTACTATAGACATCAGATGATGCACATCGACGTCCAATAGCTAACGGAATCGGACAGAATACATAAAATATGACGACAAATGTTGGCCACCAATTACTTTAATTAAAATACAACAAAGAATAAATAACAATTTTAAAAAATTCAATGGAAAAAAATTTTTCCTTTTTTTACAAACATTTATTTGCTAATAGAAAATTTCATAGAAGATTCCTTCGATAGAGATTTTAACATGCTACGAAACCATAGATACTATATATTGATACAATCATCCGAAACAATACAAAAAACAAAACTCTGAAAAAAATTGTAGACGTTCAACATAGACATATGCTACATATTGAATTGTATGATTGGCAATGTAGAAAACTTATTTGCCTATAAATCTGATAGCGTCTAGTTTCTAAATAAACCTTAACAGAACCAAATCAAATTCTATGATTCAACTCTATATGCGTAAAGACTTCTCTTAAATTTGTTTAACAGCTCAAAAAATAATTTTACTCCCTTTAGTCCTATTAGGTTGTGGGCGAAATATGGAACTCGTCGTATTCTCACCTTAAAGGGACTCATGAAAACTAATATTAATATTATAGAACAATAAATGTAATAGTGAAAAGATAATTACTCATATGTTCTGTCAAGTTTATACTTTCTATTGTTAAAGCTGTAGAAGATCTGTGAATATAGAAAAATATTCGGTTTAGATGTCTATACTCTGAAAAACGTTATTCAGTTTATTAATAGTCTGTTTTTCCAAATTATGATTCATCAAGTTATAATATGTAAGTACATATTTGCTCCTATAATTTGAACATCCATAAAACATATGATTTTATGACAGTAAGAAATTCTCAGCCACAACAAATTTATCTGAATATATATTTGAGTCATTTACTACATACTAATTTGATAGAGCACATCCTAAAATAAGTAATGTCAAACCAATTGAAGCAAGAAATGCCAGAAAAATGACGCTAAATATAACAAAAAATGACAACCATTTATATTTAATTAATTAATTATAATGCATACCCTAGAAAAGAAAACTTCAAATATTTAAAAAGTTTTCTTTTGAAGTTAATTCTTACCTCGAATTCCTTGAAAGAAACCCATTGTTACTAATTTAAAACTTATCTAGAAAAGAAAACAAAAAATCAACAACTTCTTGTTAGCACACAAAAATAGAATAAAGCTGTAAAAAAAACAATCAGACAAATTTTAAGGATAGCCTTTGATCAACGGTATACCAACAGATGTACGTTTCTGATATTCTCGATACATATTTCCATAACATCGTATTAACGTCGCTTCTTCATAAGCAATACGATCAGCAAAAAACAACCAAGTTGACTAAAAAAAAACAATTACAAACATAATAGTAGTGAACTAAAATCTTTCTGCTACTAGATCTCAGTGACTATAGGTACTAGAGATCTGAAAATTTGTGTGCACCAAATTCAGCAAGACTGAAAATCAAAACCACTAGCTTGGTCCAATGGCCTAAATACAGCGGGAATTATGATGAATAGTAATGGATGGATATCACTTACTTTTCCTTTGAACTTTACACCTATGAAAAGAAAAGATCTTATGGATCAGCCGGTCCCTCATTATTTACGAAAATATACCAGCTACCCATGATATTAATTTCATCGAAGCCTATAAACCTTTTCAAGAATGATAGTCGTTTTATTGTGACTATTCAAGGAACAAAAATTTTTCCGGTGCCATTTATAGATCACAACTCAGTGATGTTTCAATGAACCGTTTGAGTGACGAAGGACCAAATACTGGACTTCAGTTGAAAATAAATATATCAAGAATTAGTCATTTCTTTGGTAAAAAGTAACGCAAAATTTAATAGGCAACTTTTTCATGTTAAAGTTTGACGAAAAACTAGGTGATATCATATCTCTGATCTATATTCTTGGCGAAGTATGTGCACCCAAATTTTCAGATTGCCTAAATGTCCAGAAGCTGAAATCTGATCGAGGCAGAGACTTTTATTCACTATTGTAATTACTATCCATTTCAACGTATAATGTGTTGCATTGTTTTTTTAGTAAAGTTTGATAAGAACATCATAGACACCTGTATCTTTCATCATTCAAGAGAAGAGATCCAAAGCCATCGAAATATGTCGAAATTTGATTGGTCATTAGTTGACCAATCAGGTAAGTTCTTGGTGGAGGTTTTTGAAAATACGTATTATGAAACTATTTCTATCTCGATTTGGACTTTTAATAGAATTACTCGATAGAAAAATGCTTCTCAGTCTATCTACACAAGAGTGACATTGCTTACTTGTATTTTTCGAGAGTTAAAAGACTTTTTCTGAGACTCCCGATTTCAGTCAATTAGCCTGGGACCATCTAGAAAAGCAGCTAGGTTGGAATAATTCATCATGCTAAATCAAATGGTAGTATTTGTTTTGAGACTTGAAATGATTTGACTATGTTATCTCAATATTTCTGAAAGTTCAAAATTTGCCTCTATGTAAGGAAAATTTCGACATTTCAGAAGTATTGAGATAATAGAGTTAGATCAGTTCAAATGTAAATATCACCATCCAACTCAGCAAGGTGATTCATTCCTACCTAGCTGCTTTTCCAAATGGTCACAGATCAATCAGCTGATTATGGGGGTACGGTTTTCGAGAACCGTCTTCATCTAGAGCTCACCTGATTGGTCAATAGTTGACCAACCACATTTCAATATACTCTGATGATCCCAGATCTTCTCTCTTGAATACTGAAAACCACATGTCTCTATGATGTTTCTATCAAAAGTTATTCAAAAAACAGTGGATCACATGATACTTTGAAATTGATCGTAGTTTTTTTTTTGTTCATATTTTTTTCTTACGAATAAATAAATAACAAAACATATTGGATTGGCAAGTAATATTTGTGTTCCACATGCCCACCAAAACCATCCAACATATGATGGATGACGATAGTATTTATATATTCCATTTGTAATTAAACGATGTTCTTGATTTGGTTTATCTTCAATTAAATGCGAAAAATTTTGTTTTGCTGTATACATAGCTAATTTACGTAAAAATTCACCACTTAGAATCATTATTAAACCAATTATAATCATTACCCAATGGTAAGGAAAACCATTTGGAAATAAATAATATTTTTCAATGAAATATTCTAAATAAGCAAATAATATAGCTGTATGATATTGCGGTGAATGATTTAATAAAAATGAATTTATATTCAATGTTCTTGGACACCAAATACCAACTGATATATATTCACTTAAATGAAACATTGATAATATAATAGTAAATAAACCAATTGCTGGTGATGTTATTGACCATATAAAACCAATTGTTAGAATTAATGTTAAAAATTGAGCACGAATAAATATTTCTTTGATATAAAAACGATTGAATACAAGAAAATGAATAATAAATAAAAGAAAGATAAAAAACAATGAGGTATAAAACGATAAACGTTGAAGATAATAAACAAATATAAATGGAATTGAAAGAAAAAACGGAACAAACGAACAAAAACATGACGAAAGATCTTTTCTATAAATTGATTCCATGTCCACTGATTAATATGATTATTTTTTTTTAAACTTTCTATTTCACTGAGAAAATTTTTGTATGTTATCTAATAAAATTGAGTTTGCTTATAAAATTACTTTTTGTATGATTCTTTCAAACGGATTGTTCTGAAGAGTTCTTCGTTATTTAAAATTCTGAAAAAAAAAGAGAACATCAAAGTTTTCGATTTCATACAGATGCTCATTGAGCAATCCAGAAATACAGTTGAATATATTCTTCAAGTCATTTAATTGAAATACAGAAAATATATAACAATACAGAAAAAGAAAAAGAAAGACTTATAGTAGATCATAAATTTATGATTTGTTTTTCTTTTATTGATTGAAGATCATCCGTAAAATTAATCATAGCCGCAGACTTCTTTAATTATTTTGTCAAAAAATTTTCGTGCAATTAAATGGATTGATTAAAAGACATTGTTAAAGTGATTTTTCACACTAAGTATGACATTTAAAAATAAACTTAGAAATATACTTTCTCTTCAGTCAATTTTAATTTATAATATTACTAGACATTTTACTACCTAACGAACGAAAGTGTTTTATGTGATATATTGGTATTTTAACATATCCTATGCTAAATCAGATTCCTGAATTAGAAAAAATGAGAATGGTGCATTAAACAATTTTTAGGGTGAGATTTGATATATAAATCTAGTCAAGAAGAGTTTAAAATTCTCCTTAAAAAAAATTCTTCAAGATTATGTTTAAGTATCAAGAAATATTTTCCAGAGTTAATATCTAATCTTATTATGTCTTGCTGCTTCACTTCGCATCTGTCTGACTTCTTTTGATTTTGTTTTCCTAAATAAATTATTTTTTTATCTGGATAAATTTCGATAAGTTAAATCAGTTTCACTGTTTCTAACTCAAACGATACGTTCTAAAAATTGAGAATGAATATTTCATATCAAGAAAAAAAATATCTATGCACACACACACACACACACATTGATATACACTACAGATGAATATGAAAAATCCTTTTTCTTTTGTCTTTGCATCTATCGAAACATTCGTGCAACAGTGACAAGTCCTAATGTAACAACACTTGCATATAATGAATATTTTAATAAGGCATCAGTATTATAAAAATCATTAGTTGAATTAGTAAAATAATTTAATTTAGGATAAACACATAAATATCCTAAACGAACATAAATATCATCTTGATGACGTGTTTTATCACCACGTGGTGAATATGGTTCTAAAGTTCGTGTTGAATTATTATGTGAACGAAACAATAAACTTGTAAACCATGATTGTGACATATGTTCTGTATTTGTTAATAATTGTTGATTATTATCTTTATTATTTGAATACATTGTTATTGTTGTTACAGATGAATAATCGATTGGTAATGGAATTTTATGTTGACGACAAAAAAGTTCAATTGGTAATGGATAATCTTGTTTAACAGATGGTTGATCAGCTTTTGTTAAAATAAATAAACATGGCAAACGTGGATAAACATGTTGTTGAAGATAAATTGTAGCTACATTTGAAAATGCTCGTGGATGTGTACGATCAATAAGAAAACAATTAACATTTGCATTTTTAAATATTATTTTTTCATCTAAATCATTTGCATGACATTCTTCAAATATTAAACATTTGGTTTCATTCAATACACGTACAAAATCAATTGCATAAAATTTTGTTTGTTTATATGAAGAATCGGATAAATAATCATATAAAAAAAATGCTTTTGTTTTATTATTCGATTTTTCAGCTAAGTCTGCTGAATGACGTACTTGATAAATTGTTGGAGAAACAAATCTTTTTAAAAATGAACTTTTACCAGATTCTTGCATACCATATACATGACATATATACGTCATACGAGATGGTAGATTTGTATCATCTATTATTGATAGACCATAAGAATAACCTAATTGAAATAAATATGAATATGTTAATGATGGTTGACAATGGGCAAGAAAAAACCATTGTGCAAGAAAACCAGATAATGTTAAAAGTGGAACTTTTGATGATGTTAAGGATAAACGAAGATAAATACAATGTTTTATATTTGATACAGATGAAGACATTGGAGGTATTATATCAATTAAAGACTCAAATAATTGATTTAATTCATTTAACGTAAGACATGAATCATTATCACTATCGAAACGACGAAATAATCGAGTTAAATAATCAACTGCTGATGGAGATAATTCACCATTAAGATCTATACAAATAAAAAAGAATATAAAACAAAAATCATATTTTGTCTGTTCAAAGAACTTTGAGGCTTAGTTATACTCTTCAATTTTTTTATGTTGGTAAAGATTATAAAAAAAAAATAATTCTGCAGAAAATGGAAAAAATTAAAACACTTAACCTACATGTAAAAAAAATCGTCTGCACAATATCTAATCAATGTTCGTGTAATTATCAGTCACTGGAGAGAAATTAGAAGCAAAATTTCATGTTGTTTCTAACTATATATTGAGAATTTTTCTGTAACATAAAATTAGTTCATTAGGAACAAATTTTTGATGACTGCCTAAAGAGACATTTGTAAAAGCCGTAGAATTAATATGGGTTGGCAAACATGCTTGCTCATTTTTTTTCGAACACTTACATATCATTGAAAAAGATTAAAAGCAATCAGTTAGAAAATGTGCACTAACTCCACTGATAATGGAACGATCTCAATTGATCAATAGCTTTCTCACTGAAAATAAGTGGACAGTTGACTATCAACTATGCTGATATCGAGTTTGAGCATAAGAAATCCCCATAGGCTTTCATTGAGTAGTTTTCCAGACTAACAAACTTTTCGCGAAAATATCTTTTCTAATCAGTCCAGATCCAAGAATATATCTAGTCGCTTAAAAAACAATACATTTTTCTGGTTCAAAGTGTTTATTTTTGCACAAAAATACAATCAATCATTTTTGAAAAACAAAAACATTTGTTGTCTTATAGAAAAATGAATATGCTCTATAATCTTCATAGACCCTAAATGATGTTGACAAAGCTTTTTTATTAGTTTAGAAAAATGATTTTTTAGAAAACTAGCATATAAAAATCTAAAGATACCCAGAATCAGCATGTCTGATAGCCTACAATCTACTAGCTTTCAGTTTGAAAGCTAGTGATCAGTCGAATACGTTCTTTTGTGAATCCGTAGTTACTAAATTGAAAGTACAAATCTCTGTACTAAAAATTTTCTCTATAGACAATATTCTCTATCATAGAGGGGTATAAGCATTCCTGTTTTTAAGCATTCCGTTCTCAAGAAATAAGAACCCATCTCATACTTTGTTTCCTAGCAATTTTTAAGAGCATCGAAATGTTAATACATTTTTGCTTATGTTTCTATTTAAAAATTTGATTTGTATCCCGTTACTAGGAACGGAACGCGAAAATGAAACTCCTACTATCCTGCCATACCAAAAGAAACTCGTATAATCCAATTTTACATAAGGAAAAAATTTGTGCATATGGGCAATATTTTCTCCCCCAACCTGTTAAAAAAAGTCAAAAAAAATATATTGGACGTATCATCAACAAAAATTAAAATTAAAATAAAACAAAAATTTACCATCAGGTGCATTGGGTACGCATAATTCAAGTTTTCGATTATAACTAAATCGTTCTAATGTTGTATAAATAGTTTCATATTTTCCTTTATTTAAATATAATTCAAATAAACATTCAAAACCTTGATATGTTAATGCTGTTATTGTTGCACCTGTTTGATCATTAATAACTTTAATTCCATGTACAGTTCTTCGTTTAATTTCTTTTTTTAATTGTTCAATTGTTGTTTTTTGATCATTTGTTTGAATTTTTCCAAAACAAAAATCTTGTAATGTTGTTAATTCAAAATCATTTAATAATTGATCATTATCTTGATCAGCGATTGTAAATATTCTTTTTAAACATTGTTTAAAACGTTTTGTTAATTTATTTTGTTCTTGTAAATAATTTATTGGATATAGAACACATTTTTGTGCTGAATAAAATAATTCCGATATATTTTTCATTGTTCGTGTTGATGTTTCAATACATGCTTCAATACGAGAATATTTTAACATTGTTGAACGAAAAAATTCTCGATTTTCATGATTAATATCATTATTATTATCATTATTTTCATCAATTAAATCACATTTATTAGCAACAAGTATTATTGGAATTGTTGATGCACTACGATCAATTAATGGAAGCCAAACAGTTAATAAACGATCACGAGATTCCCGACTATCGAATGCATATACAAGACATATAACATGTGCTTGACGAATACATGAATAAAGAGAACGAGATGATTGAAGAAGAGGATTTGGTGATGGACATTCCATTGGCAACAGTAAATCATCAATTTCATCAGCTGACATCGGTTGACGACCACAATAATCCATTATAACAGTTGGAACACGTGCTCGAGTTACTTCAGGTGGTATTGAGATATCATCAGTTGTTGAACGAATTGAATCACCCGTTAAATTTAGATTTGAAGAAGATGGAACTACATCTTCACTAACAAGAGAATATATTAACGATGTTCGACCAACATTATCATCACCTAATAGAAGAATGCGAATTTCAGATAAATCCATCTAAAAAAAAATCAAAAAGTTTACTCAAAAAACAAATTAATCTTTTATTAATTCGATTCATCTTATATGTTGACGGAAAACTAAAATATTCTATAAATTATTTTTGTTTTGACATCAATCTTTCTTATAAATTAATCATTATTTATGAAATTTATTTCTTCTATAAATACAAAATCTTCGTGTTTTTTCATCGAAACATTTTCAAAATATTCACTGTTCTAACTCTCATTCTTCATTTTCAACTAACCAGAACCTCCTCATATGATTTCTTCTAACTTCAATGAGTTTTTTGTCTATATATACTACACAGAGTTCTAATAAAATCCCTAAAAGAACTTGGATTCCTATTGAGGTTTGACTTGGCTATCGTATTTTTAATATGTCTGTTTTCTGGACTGCAGCGTT